TTCCTTCTTTTATCTTGTCATTAAAAAAAATGGGGTCGGATAGCCACCCTATTCGCCCCCTCTGGAACCGCCCTTGTCATTGCTGCAGCGCTCATCAAAACGAAATTTTATCCCGTATAGCCCTGAACTATTCCTAATATACTTCTATTTGTTCCTTCAGTTAAACACCCGGCTCCATTCTATCGGATCTTGATCAGCAACTGAATGATAACTACGTAATGGGTGAAAGAGTTGCAAAAATGCAGTAAGGTTTTCTTCTGAGCAGGATTTAGATAGTTTTTTTTTTAAGGCGGTTGCACTCTTTCTCTTACCTTAAATATATACGTCTTTTGCGGCTTAAGGCTTTTTATAGTTATACTTGTCTTTGTAGTATTTTTTGTAAGTGTGTTCTCCTCCTTATTCTCCTCATGATATGTCACTTGATAGTATGTAATGACCCCGTTCTTCTTCTCTAGCTTCCACCTCAGCTTTATTTCTGTGGAACTGATTTCTGCGCTTAATTCTGTCGGGACTCCTGGAACTTATAAGAAATAACATGACACTACTATTAATACACAAAAGGTAAGTAGTATATTTTGCTTCTCACGATGGCAACAACAATACACATTTGATTTGACACGAGTTTTCCTTAACTCCACACGACTTCAGAGAGTGTCTATTTCGTATGACTGAGTTTGTGCAGAGGCACCAGTCAACAAGAGGCATAAAGTCCACAAACCAGGAAAAAAAGGAGATGGTAAAGGAGAATTGAAGTGTGGTTTGATACAGAACTAGAGTGATGCACTTGTTGGGCATGCAATGAATGAGCACCAGCTTTTCCTCTCAACATTATGATTATTTGAGTCCGGCGTAAATTGCTGATGTGGACACGAATCTTTCAGAGGATTTCTAGGCCTATTGCAGGGTCTATTGTCCTTTCTAGTTAGGCAGTGTGCAAGAATGCTATACTGTTTTAACATGAAATTGTTTTACCTCTTACCTGATTGCTTAGTCCTTCGAGGAAGAGGTATGAACTGTGGTTCTCTATTATCCCTRATTTCCGCTAAACTAGACATTCCATTCTTAGCAAATATCTTAAACTCGTAATAAGTATAGGGAGACAGAAATTGGACAGTGGCATTTCTACTGGTTCCTGGAGTATGTGAGATATCAGCACCGGTACAGTTTGTGATGCAATCCTTGCCTTCGTCGTTACACTTCTTACAATGAATTTCATAGTAAACATCTYATCTACTTCCGAGATCCGAGGGCGAGGACCATGAAAGCTGTAGAGACGTTGCATTAATGAAGGTTGATTCTGGAAATCTAGGTTCTGATGGTGGACCTAAGTGAACAATGTAATTGACAGTTTTCGTAACTGATATTTGCAGTACATCATTTCCTTGGTGTTGTATACATACTAGTATACTTTTCTTGTAGTACACGGAACTCATACTAATTAGTCAATTGATCCCCTCCCATATGAGTTAGACTTCGAAGCTCTTAGTACTGATTTCGTATATTCAATATAAGCTGCTATATGCTGTTATATGGAAGATCTATCAGAATGCGACATTTGTGAGAAGTTTAAGCTTGGATAACATTTTTAATTGACAGGATGGAAACTTTTTTTCTTATAATTAGTCAAACCCTTTCTAAAAAGATTATTATTTCTTAAAGTTATCAATGTTAAAAGTAAATTCCTTCAATCAAGTAATTTTATAAATGTTATACTGAATTTCCTGTTTTTAACATATTCGGGAAAAAACACGTACCTGTACAGGTGTCCATATAGGTTTCATTATCAAACCTGTAATAGCCAGGCTTACATGAGCACATAGTTCGATGTGAGTTCACTCTGCTGTTAAGAGGGCATTTGGTACATGATGCATTACTTGCTGTATCTTGATATGTTCCATCAGGGCATTCTGAATATACACATCAATACGATAATACAGAGATTAAGCTAGTTCCTCATAAAACAAAAGTATTCAAAAATACTGTTGAACATTTACTACGCGACATTCTTTAATTGACGGAATATATTTTGCAGACAATATTGCATTGGACGGCTTAATATAAGAACTTCTTATGAATTAGGATGAAGTCAAAGTGGCTCCCCCTCTTTATGCTCAACGGCCACTGATATGCCACTGAAAGAAGTTAACGCACTTACTTTTGCAAGATGCACTGGTTCCATTTAAGTACTTTCCAAACCCTGCCATACACAAGCATTCACCACCTATTGCGTCACTACTCCATTCACCATTAGCCATGCAATTTCCATARAAGGTCATATTATCAGCCAAMGGCTGAGCGTTTTGAGCACAAGATCCTCCAACCTGTATTGTTCCGTTAGCTGGTGCAATCGTTTCAGTTAGATGAACAAGATTTGATGACAAAGCCATAGAAGAACAAATTGAATAGCTCAAGACCACTTCGAACAAGCGAAAGCATCCTCCTTGGTATCGAATGGCAAGGTAGTAGTATGGTGTTGAACCATTCGTGAAGAAGGAGTATGTCTCGTTATTTAATTCGGGCTTAACGAGATCTTTAGAGATGGATCTTGGTTTTGTGGTTCCAAAGTTTTGATATGATTCAATATTTTTATTGGGTTCCGGGACCTTGTTCTGTGTGTTACCATACTTCCGCGATGTTTTATGGACGAATAATTGTAAGTTGTCCTTGCAATGCTTGATCGCAGTGCATTCAGAAACGGCGTATTTTAATGTTACATCGACCCTTGTTGCGTTTTTAACATGAATTTCGAGACTTCTTAACCAGAYGTTTGGTTCTTGTGAAGGGCTTATGTCACAGACAGTGAAAACTGGCTTCTTTGGTCCATGATCCTTCTTCCACTTTGGTTTGAAAATGACAAAACAATTATGAGAGGGATAAGTAAAATATTCTCTGCTTTGATACAGTAATAATAGAGTACAAACACTAAAACTGTGCAACATAAATACCACTAAATACTGCTAAATTATGCTAATTCTATTATTTTCTATTGTTTAATTAACATTGTTTTGTAGTAAATAGTGGAAAGTAGAGTGGTTTTCATTAACCGTGAGATACACTTTAGCGTATTACATTTTATTACACTTTGTCTCTTTTATTTTCTATTATCTTTCTTGGCTATTACACTTACACTTTGACTATTACACTTTGTTTCACGGGTTGATGTGAGCCACTCTATTGCACARATTTATGTTCGTACTCTAATGATGAGACTGACAAAAATGACAAAAGAACGGATATTATACAGCTCAATATCAATATAAATTGAATAAATTGAAGAAAAAGGCACACAACTTGCAACTATTATTCCTACTCTTTATTTGAACGTTTCGGCACTTCGGCCTTCTTCAGCAAACTGAGTGTTTTGCACGCGCCATTGCTACAAAAACCAACGCGACTAACGGAAAACAACAATACGCGCGCGTTCTCTCTACAGCGCGCATAGCCAAAAAACACGCGCACTAAAATGCACGTGGGCTAGGATTAGCCTCCTTCGCAGGCAACTCTACTCCATGGGATTCCTTTGTTAAGGCAAAAAAAGCTGCCGGAGGGGGAGGGGGTAGGAAGGAAGGAAAAGCAGGAGGAGTTGCCTGCCGGATTTGAACAACTAGATGACAGTTCGCGCATGTTTTCTGCGCATACTAAAATTTACCAAGCGAGGGAAGGTAGAAAAATTTGTATCAAACAAATTCTGGTAGTTCAGAAATTAATAATTTTCAAATGGCGGTTGAGTGTCAAAGATAGTAAACTTGAAAGTCTCTTAGAAAAACTCTCTACTTTGCCTGCTTATAATCCGAGTACCTCAGAAAGATACACTGTGAAATCACTCTTCGAACACAACTAGAAGCAAGTTCTCATTACGGATATTACGAAGCGGCGTTGAAGGCTTCGTTTGGCCTTTTTCTTGATCTCGGTTTACGAAACGTCGTATCGGTCGAAGTTCTTCGAAACTCTAACTCAGATGTGTTGAAGTTTGTATTCCAAAYGACAYAAAACMMTCAATCWTGAGTTTTTTTGCACTCTACAAACGTAAAAAGTTATCGAATTCACGAAGAACTACTTCGTGTGAATTCGACCTCAGTTGACCTACGCTGCCTACGCGTCGTTTTATTACACGTACTTTTGTATTCTGTACTTGGATGGAATCGCATTTTGTCGGCTAAATAACACTGACTTACTACCCTGGTAATGTTCCACAGCCTTGTCTTTTTTTCTTGCGTGCTTAACATGTGTTATCGAACAGCGAAAGCGGTGAGATGTTTCCGTTAATCGGTTTGGAAACATCTTGGCGCTTCGCGGCTCAATATTACATAAGCTGAGTAAGCAAATGAATATAAGAAAAGCCTCTGGAAACCCTGCCCTGACAAGTAGTCATTTTTGTTGACCCCCTTCGTTTGTTTTACGATATATTTTTGCTTTTCAAGTAATTTCTAGTGTATATTTTAGTTGAACCGTCGTGTGACATTGTTTCATTTACCGTTACCACTTCGCTGGACTTAAATTTGATAGATTTAACTCCTTTATTGAGCTTTCTATGCTCAATACTACATACAGGAATTTAGTGAAATTATAGCGAGATCGTTTTGACTTGAACTGTACTGTAGTTCACGACCACAGCTCGCCACTGTATCTACCAAGTATAATTTTGCTTACAAAACATCTCCCTAGGGTACCCGGGGTGAATTCAGATGTCCACAGGGTGAATTCACTCGTCCATACACTTCGATTTTCGGCAGGCTACTCCTCTTGTTCGTTATTCCTAATCTCTCGACACCAGTTCTTCTCGGTCAAAGATATGAACACAGGAAGACCAAGAAGAGAAAAATGTCCGTTTCCGATGGAGTAGCCTGCGAAGGAGGCTAGGCTAGGACCTAAATACTAAACTACAAAACCTAAGAAAGCAGTAGCTAATACAAAGCKCRCAGCTAGCCAAACCAGAAATTACATCAAACAAACCCAAGCCAGATAAACAACACCAATGTAGGAATTACTAAATCTAATACGAATAAATAATTAATACAAATAAAGGAAGGACATGAAAGCTACTGCCCCTGCAAGCAACCTTCAAAACTCCATTCACCTAACAATTATATTATATCAGCTCAATATCAATATATATATATTAATTAATATTAATAATCATATCCCAAATACCTGATCTCCAATACTTATCCACGGCCAGATATATTTATTTCCGTCAGAACTAATTTTTCGTGGTACCATCAGCAAAGTTTCTGAAAAATATCCACTTAATAAAGGAACCTAGAACAACGTGTTATAACTCTGAAATGATAGAGAAAAGGGCTRGAACATTTGGCCCTCTATATATAGGCTTCTTCAATAGCCAAGGGATTTCGATCATCACAATAAGGCACAAGTTTAACACTTACTGTTTTTCGCTTCTGTTAGCGAGCCATTCAAGTATAGAAAAATTAAAACCAGCGCCCTTCCAAGAAGCATCGTKAACATTGCATTGGTACTGTTACGAAAAATAGTATAATTAGTTACCAGATTAGACGATTCCCCCGAGATATTCTGTGAAGCTGAGGCGGCGAATCGATTTACATTCCGGTTAGAGATTTCGGCTCTTTCCATGCTATCCCGATAATTGGTCCTAACTTCGCGCTAACTAAAAAGCCAGTGAGGGAGAAGCTATCCGGCCCCTAGACACTGATGGATAACCCCTTGCACTAACTAGGCAACTATCGAAAGTATAATGTCAAATTGGGGTAGTCTATTCGGTGAAAGTGTCAAGTGGTCTATTATTATGTAAATGAGAGTGATCCAGTGGGGCGCACCGCGTTAAGGCGCCGCTTGCAAATCCAATGTAGGTTGACGGTAGCGGGATCGATTCCCTGGAGGAGACGTTTAATGATTTTGTTTTTTCCTTTTTATTTTATTTATTGTTTATCTTCTTTTTTTTATTTATTTATTTATTTTTTCATAATTATTGTCATCTCTTGTTTCACTTTCCCGAGAACTTTTTTTACGAAGTGGATATATGATCGGCTCCCGCTCAAAGTCTTCGATGTACTAACATACTAAATGAGTGCTAGTTTTGTTTTGGCAAAAAAAATCTTTTATATCTTTATTAGCAATCTAAAAAAAGATGTCGATTCATATTATAACGTTCTATTTCGAGCAGCTTTAGCTTCTTGTCGCACTTAGCGTGACGAAGGCTACCGCTCAATTAAGGTCTTCGATGCACTAAATGAGCGGGAGTTTT